AACCACTTGTTAGAGCTGGGCCTATGAACTGCACTTCATCAGCCTCCTAGGTAGTAGGTACAGAAACTCATGGACTCAATATACAGTGGAATTCTGGCACACTGTGACCTGCCAGCCAGCTGACATCCCAGGCACCTCTGCACTTTTACCTGCGTTGCTACATCCCCCCTACCCCCACTCCAGCCTGCCCCTCCCTGCCTGATGCCTCCATTTCCATTTTCACTGACTGGCTTTCTTGCCTGCATGGCGGGCCAGGCCAGCCTCTGGCTTCTTTACTATTCCTTCCATCCAGGACCAACTGCAGGTACTTCCTCAGCCTGACAAAGGGGTTTTCAACCCTAAAGCTTCCAAAGATACATTTTTTTTAAGTACTCCTTTTTTTTCATAATACACTTATAGACATAAAAACACAAGATAAGCCATCACACACCATGAATAACATCATATGTCCGACACAACACAACATCTTTACTTCTAGCTGTCAATTCCTTTATAAAATGACAGGCTCTGTGACAGTTCCATGTGGGTACCTTTGATGCTGATGCTGATGCTACTGGTGTTGAGCCAGCTAAGTTATTGTACCTGTTGTCACATAAAGCGGAGGACCGGGCATGAGGCTGTAGGGAAGGAGGAGGCCTCAATGGGGCACACTGCTGTGTTGTGCAGAGGCCCCAGCATCAGGAAGGGCACACCTTAACACACACACAGCATCACCTGCCCACATCACAAGTTTTGCCTGTCAGCAGCTTGGGGTGCAGGGCCCCAAAAGACAGACCTCCCAGTGAGACACACACAGCTGGCAGGGCCCAGAACTCACTCAGGCCTGCTCTAGGACACACATTCACAGCTGGCATGCTTTGTGGCCTTAGTAAGAGCTACCACCCCTGCAGTTTTGACCCTGCTGTGTTGTAACACATAGACGTGACAGGAGTTTTGCATGTCAGCAGCTTGGGGTGCAGTTCCCTCCCAACCCCTGCACCGATCTTCTTGAAACTTGGCAGACTTTGTGGCCTGAGTAAGAACTACGGTTCCTGCAGTTTTGACCCCCCTGTGGTGTAACACATAGACGGGACAGGAGTTTTGCTTTCAGAAATTTGGGGTGCAATTCCCCTCAAACCCCTGCACTGATCTTCTTGAAACTTGGCAGGCTTTCTGGTCTCATGAAGAGCCACCACCCCTTCAGTTTTCAGCCCCCTACAGTGTAACACACAGCCGTGACATGAGTTTGGCTTTCAAGAATTTGGGGTACAGTTCCCCCCAAACCCCTACACCAATCTTCTTGAAGCTTGGCA